AACGACGCGGCAAGTTTATCGAAAAAACACCCCCTGCACAGCTCCTAGGCTTCCTGGATATGTGCAGCGAAAGTTGGAGACAGCGAATCCGTTGCATCGTTCTGTTGGCTCAAGAACATTTTGGGGACTACGGCAGCCTCTCAGATCTACGCCGCCACGTCCATGATCTAAACCTCGTCGCTCTCACCTGCGAGAGCTACGCTCACATGACCGTGAGATGGCACCTCGATCTTGGACAGAGCTCGCTTAGCGATCTTATCATGTGCGGTCTCGTAGTAGTACTAGGTCTTCGTGGCAATGCCGTCGCCGTAGAGAATATTCTCAAGGAGCTGGGGATGAAACCCGAGTCTGTCAGAATGGGGTCATTCTTGCAGTCTTGGTGTCGCGAATGGAGGCGCTGCTGTGGTTTGAATGCGCACGAGAACGTACTTCCGATGCAAAAATTCCGTATCGTTCCTTTCGGTGAGATCATGGACGCGGAAGACCTTCGCATGAAGATGGGCTGGCGCAAGGCTGAAGATGAACCCACCTACTGGGATGCTCCAGGGGCCGTAGGTGCTCACTTCTTCGAGAAACGTCTTGCTCTTGCGATGGAATGGGCAAGAGATGGGTTCTAGAAGGACGGCAAAGCATTGTTGTCGATTGTTCGCGCTTCATCGCAGTCCTTCGTCATGGCTTCGGCACTCAACGACATTTGTAAGATTTACCTAGCTCGCTATCTACTTTTTCAGAATATAAGATCTTCTCAGCCTTGACTGCAGCTCTTAGATCGGTCTGGAGTTCTGGAGGGTGTTCTGTCGATTGTCTTTCATTCACCGTATCGTCTTTGTGCGCATGACAATGGCTCGTGCGCACTCTTTGTGGGCATTCCAACTCCCACACAACTTGCATTCCAGCTTTTTCTTTACGTGGTTGTATCATCGCCCCATTTCCAAATCACATTTCCAAAGCCACACTATCTCTACACCCTGAACGAATATACTATCGCACAGCCTACATACAGAAAGCTGCAAGCGCTCTCGCCATGTCTCATTACACGCCTCAAACCACCAAGGCCAAACCCCATATAGCTCCGCTCGTCAAGATATACGTCTGGCGGTGTCCGAATGAGAGCTGCAGTCACGCCAACGAGACAATAGCTAGCGAGGAGGGCAGAATTAGAGTAATATCGAGTGGTAACGAGCTCCGAGAGCCTATGTGGTATACTAGGAAGTGCGAGAAGTGTAGCGAAGAAGCTGGTAGGGGATGCTGTCTTCTCGAGGTCAAGCTCCTTCCGCCTGAGGATCAAGTGAAGGGGAAGGGGGAGGGGAAGAGGAAGGGGAAGGTGCCAGTGGACGAGGACATCGAAGGGGAGCGCTGAAGTGATGTGGCATCTACGCGCAAGCTCGATATATCAATTTTGCTATGCCGACGAAGTGCATGCGGCTTGACTTAGTAAGATTTGAGAGATTCATCTGCTGGGGCGCCCATGTCGCCTTTAGGCTGGTTGTTGGACTGAGAATGTCATCGTCTGCAACACACGATAACTTCCTTTGTTTTCTAAGCATGGTCATGATGACTGATATCGCACGTGAGATAGGTCAGATCGCGATGTGAACCTTAATCACTTGTATCGTGGAGAACGTGTCTAAATCTCCGATGTTCGGGTTCACGCGTCGTGCTAAGCCGCATCCGTCTTCGCGCGTTTCCCGGACGCGCAGGCAGGCGCAAACCTGAAGTCCACTGACGTACCGCTTGAGAGCCAGAGCTATCAACACCCATCGACTGTGATTCACCTGTAAGAACTGGAAGCTTGTGGGGTAAAGAAAAGGTTGTATTGGCCCCAACACTCGGTTCTAATACAAGCAGGTAAAGAGGAAGCCATCTCTTGCGGCCCACGTTCACCCTCATCGCGCAGCCGCTGCAGCTCTCAAGTTCCTGCAGCTGATTACACATCATCAAATCCAGCAGTGCGACTTCCAAGGTCATTTCTCCGGAATGGCTCCTCCAGCGTTCGGCGCTGCACCATTGCCGACGTGGGATATGGGGCCAAGATGCGATGCCGAAACATGCCTTATCCTATTTGAGTTGCCATTGGTTGGCAAAATGCGCTGCACGGGGCTATGGACACCACCTGCACTCCCACGACTCTCCATCAGCATATCCGCGCCAGCAAGAGTGAGCGATTATTGTCGTGGCGACCTGGCATGAATCGCTCTAACAATACCTGTTCCTCCGGCAAGGTTGTGGAATACTCAGGCGTTTGTCAGGTACTGCCAACACGGAATGTATCGCGAATCCATCGCACGTCGGCATGTGCAAGCGAACACGGGCAATCATGCACAGAGAACGCGGTTCAGGACACCGCCTTTCGGCACATACTGGGAGGGGCCGCTCCTCAATGCGAGACTAGCCCTGAAGCAAGCAGGATGAGCGTTGAAAGTCGCAAGCGAGGAACCAGTGGAAGGGTTCGTCCGCGTTCGCGCAGCGACTCCAAGATGGCATGCGCCTCAACGGGAGCCGCACCTATTCCCGCCTTTCCCGCCTATAACTCACGCCACTCGAGTCAGTAATCTCCCGCCCGAGCGGGCTATCATCCATGGCTCATGACTATTCGCCGTCTTATGCGTGGCCAAGCGATTCAGGCAGCAAGAGCGAGGAACTCGTGATAGGCTCAATTGAGGCCTTGCTGACGGCCGCCTCTACAAGTTAAGGGTCGCATCGACATGCAAGGAACCATATTCAGGCTCGGTAAAGGAATGTCATCTCATCACGAGTCTTGCCTCTCCTCAGAACCCGACCCCTGTCTTAAGAAATCCTTCCCCCAGTTTTCATCGACTCTTTCCTATCCAAATTGAGAGAATGAAGCACTGTGCAGAGATGCTGTGCTTACTCCTAAACCATGATCTTTTCAAAGAATCTATGCTTCATATAGCACAACCTAACGAGTGAACGTTTTCTAGCGCATCAGTTTGTCCACTTCCTTTTGCAACGACCTACGACGATGTCTGACCCTAATGCGACACTCATTGAGTGCCGCGCCGAGTACGCGGTTGGAAGTGCCATCATCGCCGCGCGATTCTTGACTAGATGGAAGACACTAGGATGGAGAGCATTCTACTGGGACGGTAAGCTCTGGCTGTACGAAGTGCATATGAGACATATACTGACTTTGTACCCCTACCTATTCAGACTTTTTCGCCTTCACCTCGTGGGTCTTTTTCACCTTGATCTATGTCATGGTGGAGTATCTCAGTAAGTTCACTATCGCAAGTCTTTGGGTGCTGAATCAATCCACTAATGCTACTCCAGACGTTATGGGTGCGCCTATAGCCATGTCTCAAGAGCAGCGTGAAGCGCTTTCACCTGCAATGCGAAAGTCGATGCGGGAGGGCGCAAAGGGCATGTTCGCATCTTTCTACTTCTTGATCTTTCTAGTCTGGAGTCTGAAAGGATCTCTCATCATTCTTTTCCTCCGTTTGACGTAAGTCCATTTCAGCTTCCAAATGACTAGTACTTATTCGCCGGCATAGGAGAAGCACTAGGCTCTACTACTATGTACAGGCCGTAGCGGCTATCTCGGTGGCTGCGTGCATCGCCGCCATCATCACGCAGACAACACACTGTTTACCCTTGAAGCGGAACTGGCAGATCCTTCCTGACCCAGGCAAGGAGTGTTCAGCCGGCATTGTCATCAACATCGTGATCGCTGTCGGAAACGTCCTGTGAGCATCAATATGGAATCCAGTGATTGGAAGCTAACGCATCGACAGTGTAGATGCTTTGCTGCTGGTCGTACCTTTGTGGATGTTGAAAGATGCGAAGATCAGCCTCTGGCGGTAAGTTCACGCGCGACCTGGACAGAAGCCAAAGCTAATCGGCATCACAGCAAAATTCGCGTCATCTTTCTCCTCTCTCTCGGTCTTTTCGTTATGGGGATGGCGATTGCTCGCTGCATCCTATCTATCGGCTCTTCTGTGGAAGTCGCTCTCTCCTCAGTCTGGGCACAGCGCGAAGCTGTAAGTTTTGCTGCTTTTGAGTTGCCACATTACGGTGATATCTAACAATATCGAACAGATCGTATCCATCTTTGCAGTCAATGCGCCCGTCATCAACAGCCTCTTCCGTGCGGAAACGTGGAAGACACGTCACTCCTCAGACGGCTACGTATCGAAAGAATCGAACCGATCGCGATCCAACACTGGTACATTGGAGAAGATCAAAAATAAGAAGACCGGCTTTGAGATCTATAAGATGACGGATATCGAGACGACGATGACAGACTTCGAGACAAGCAGCAAAGAGAGCACCACGGAGCTGTTCAAGGAACCCATGCTTTCTCCAGTGCCTTCACATTGGAGATGTTCGGCGCGTGGAGGGAGTCAAGATGGTCGTCCTGGAAGTAAGAGCATGGTTTGAACGATGTCAGGGCGAGATACGTGCCCCTTGGGCTATCGCGACAGCGTGCCGTTTGGCGCTATTCTACGACATACAGCTTTGCTCCGCGGAGAGGTGAGGACGTTATGCACGGCTTCTGCAGAAGCTCCTGATGTCAACAGCGGTTTTATACATTTAATAGAGACGACACACATAGCTTGCAACATTCGCTTCTACCTAGAACTGCTCGTTACAGCTGACGGCGACTTGATGCCCACGACAGTCAAAATCATCCCACTTGAGCCGTTGAGATTATGACCTGCAAGATAAGGCCAACCCCAGCAATAGCAGCCACGACGGTGTCCCGAATTGAGTCATGGGCATGTGTTAACGTACGCTAAGGATCAACTCCCTGAGCAACCCCACATCTGCCAAGCTCTTATTGCCGTCCGCGGTATGCGACATCCCGTGGATGACTGGGGTGTTTTGGGAAGTGGACCTGAAGAGTCGTGAACATGCAATTGTGTAGTAAACAACAGAGAAGCATGAATCATGTCGACGTTCCTTAAGTACTGTCCACTGTCCGGCTTCTTAACGGCTGATCAACCCATTCATAAACTCAAGCACCATCTAGAGTATACATCATGACATCTATCATCAGCACTCTGGATGCAATTCACCCCTCACGATTCTCCACAGATGCCGAGCGCTTCGAAGCCAAAGAAGCAGCGCGCCGTTTACTTACCCGCCTCGAAACACCATTCGAGCAAGGCTGGAGATTGTCTTTCGAGACACCCGTGCTCGTAGCTGGTGTCCAGACTATTCTTGATCTCGGTATCTGGAAGAAATGGATGGAAGCCGACAAGAAGCATCCGGGTGCGCCAGTGCACTTGGATCAATTGCTGGAGTGGGCGAATACGAAGGCTGAGCCAAACTTATTGCGTGAGTGTATCGCATTGCGGAAAAGAAGTGTAATGCTGATTTGTGGGCTATAGGAAGGTTTCTGAGACACATTGCTGCTCTTTATGTATTGGAAGAGACGGATGTGGACACCTGGAAGCCCACGCCCTACTCGCTTTCTCTCGGCGACACGGTATCGCATACCGACCAGATCACAAAGTGCGGGTACGTACAACCCAAGCCCCCATTCTAAACTCAAAGACATCAAGCTAACCCAAGTCCAGTATCGACCACACCATCCCCACTGGATGCAACCTCCCCGGCTTTCTCAAAAAGTACAACTACCGCGAACCCATCGACCTGACCCAACTCGACAACTACCGCGACATGACCAACGGAACAGACTTCTTCGCCACTTGCGCAGCGGATCCGCAGGGCAAGGGAAGTAGTTTCATGGGTTTGATGACCGCGTTGCGAAACCACAAGATGGACTGGACCGACGTATACGACACTAAGCGAATCGTAGATGGCGCAGAAATCGAAACCGGGAAGCCGTTGTTCGTGGACATTGGTGGCGCTCACGGTCTCGATACCTCGCGCCTGCTGGACAAACATCCTGATCTGCCCGCTGATGTCTTGATCCTGCAAGATACCCCAGAAGTCGTAGCGATGCCAATCGAAGACTTGGACAAGAGGATCGCGAAGCAGGCTTACGACTTCTTCACCCCGCAGCCCCAATTGCATGCGCGCGCCTACTTCTTCCACGCCGTACCGCACGACTGGCCTGACGCGGACTGCGTGCGCATGTTCTCACAAGTCGCCGCTGTGTTCAAGCGCGGATACTCCAAGCTCCTGATCTACGAGGTTGTGTTGCCGAAGAAGGGTGCGACAAACTTGATGACGACGCTCGACCTGCAGCTCATGAATTGTACGAGTGGAATGGAGAGAACGGAGGAGCATTGGGAGAGGTTGTTGAAGGAAGCTGGGTTTAGCATTGTGGAGATAAGTCGGCATCCCAGGGCGGTGGAGAGCGTTATCGAAGCGGATTTACTGTAGTTGTGTGCTTGTCGCTCCAGATAAGTTCGAACTTCAAACTTCCATGCCAGTTGAATGCATACCCTAATCGCATGATTTTCCCCATGCAGCACAGCCTCTTCAGTTCTGCTTCGAGGTCTCCACTTCCTGTGGAAGTAGGAAACACAATGGTGTTTAATGTCAATGGCATGTACATGGTTTCGCACGAAACCATGTGGCAGGTTTGTATCAACCCGGCACCAATTTTGGAGACGTCGAATCGACCGTGCTGCTTGTCGTAGGGTAGGCGATTTGTCTCCGAAGTGAGAGCGTAGATGTAGATCATGTTGCGGATTTCGCCTGGGAGGGAAAGGAACGGTGATGCTGAGACGGCGGCTTGGTGTGCGGCTGGAGTGGTGTGAGAGGAAACCGGACCCAGGATCTTGAGGTGAGTTTTTGGTGGTCGTCTTCTAGGCTTAGAGACCTTGGACGGATTTTTGAATGAAGATCGTGTGGTTGTGGAGGGGTTGTGGCCGTCTGGCTCGGAATTTTCGATCGTAACTGGTGACTTCTGAGAGAGCTTTGAGGCATACGAGCCCTCCCGCGTCGGACTGTTGCAGGATGTATGCATGGTACTGAGGAAGTCGATGTGTGGTGTGATGGTGTTGGTGTTGGAAAGAGGATGATGTAGGCTCTAGGGTTACATAAAAATTGTCAAGAGGTGAGTAAGAAGTTGCTTGTAATCTGCAACGAGCATTATTATTTTTCCATTGTTGGAGTTGGACAATAGCATTATGGGTCACTGCTCGCTACCATACCGCGGCGACCAGTTCACCTTCACTTCTGCCACTGTCATTGCCTACAATAGTCAGCACGGGCCCTATTGCAGCACTCGAACGCAATACTCACAATTTGACTGGTCCGAACAAATTTCGTACTTGACTTGCGCCCGCCCTCAAAGACACTCCAGGCATGGCGCCATGCGTACGCAGGCCGCAACTCGCAGTGAGCGCGCGCGTCTTGAGTTACACGTCCATAGTCGGCACCAGCAGCTCCTTCAAAGCGTCACCGCGCTCTTCTGGCCCGCAAACGTACTCTCCTCAAACTCGATCTTGGTGATATGCTGCCCAGGCACAACGATGAGTCCGACGTAGCGACTGTTCCAAGCGACAGATGCAGATGGATTTCCCGACTCTTCCACCGCCTTGCGAATCGTCTCGGCTGATGGCGCACGGTACTCGTGTGCGAGTGCAAGAATGACATTACGGTCCTATGTCAAGTTAATACAGCAAGACTCCCCACACGTCATGACCTCGTACTTTGTCTGTGCATTTCATCTGGCCTCCGAATACTCGCCCATCACTGGCGTGTATGCGCAAGTTCTTCCCGATGAACTGGCTCAGCCAGAAGGTGGCTTGCTCGTTGTCCATTTTGGTGGTCTTGTTCGCTCGAGGGAAGAGCCAGCTGTAGCGGTTGATCCTCCTAGGGGCTAACATTTCGCTTGCCGGGAAAGAGGGACCGCAATGTGGCTGTGTAACACCTGAGGCTGGAGCTGAGGCTGGAGTCGTGGCTGCCCTGTCGGACAAAGCGAAAGTGCCGCCGACGTGGCTTGGCGCGTTTGACGCGTTTGCGCCAAATTTCTGGACTTTGCCCACGCCATGCGACGAGGGCATTCAGCACACACCATACCATGTATTCAATACGGCGGGGCTGCCAATCGGCATTGCTGAGATCAGAAAACATCTGCCTCTACGCCAATGGCTCAAGACGCGCATTCTCGCGCACTGCGGTGAGCTCGAGAGGTCCGCATCACTCCCGAATCGCCTTCGTATATACACTCTACTAATGCGAACATCAGGCGCTCTTCCCAACTTTCTCCCACCGTCTTCTCCCGAACTATCCAAGCTCCTATCGACCTTCAACTCCCAAATCCTCCTCCCCGAACACTTGACCAAAGAGCAACAGAAGCTCGTATACTCGCAAGAGAGCCGCGCAAAACTCGAAGCCGAACCTATAGAGATTACCTTGGGAGAGGTCACCCTGCCTCTTGAACACCTCGACCGCAATAGGCTACCGAATCGTTACAAGCGGCTCAGGGAGATTTGTAACCAAAGCGAAACCAAGGAGGACTGGGAGAATGTTGTCAGATGCTTGGAGGGATTCCAAGAGGCCGGGATCAAGGTCCACTGGCAGTGGCAGGAGCTCGTTATCAGGAAGTTGAACCTTGCAGGCATGCAGCATCTTATTCTGAAGGCGTTGCAAAGAGCAAAGGAAACCGGCGTCAAGCTGAACAATTACGGTGTTTTGCGTGCGGTGTTGAGGACTGTGCACGACAAAGCGGCTCTGGCCGATTGGGCACAGGACGATACAATCAAGGCGCACAAACTGGCGAAGCAAGTGGTGGAGCTCATGGAGGATGAGGAACACTATGTAGGCAAGAGACCGGTGAAACCGCGCGGAAAACCAGACAAGTTTGCCGAAGGCGACTACAGAGGGAGGCCATCTGTGGTTGCGCTGCCGACAGAAATGGCTGCTGTACTCGCCGACAGATACGGTGGAGACAAAGAGGAAGTCAAGACACTTTCTAGCCGCCTGGTCCACGCGTTACAGCAGAGCGGATACACGGTACATCTTCCCCTATTATCTTCCTGCATATGCGGACCAATACTGACAAAACGTTCCAGACATCACTAGATGCTATATCTAGAAACTCCGACGCGAGAGCTACTGATTTCGTAAACGTCACCAAACTTTTGGAACACATCACCGACCACTGCTACGAACTTCTCGAGGTACTTATCATATGGAACGCTCTTAAGACGTCTCGCAAAGTGCTCGGCGCTGAAATGCCCATGTCAGAAGAGGCACAGACGTTCGAGACTAGAACTAAGCTAGTATTGATCGAGGGTGTACGGTCGCTGGACGACATGTCCAAAAACAAGGAGGGCAAGCCGCTGATGCCGGCATATGTGCGCTACATCAAGGATACTGTTGAGAAGACCCAAGGAGAAAGTTACGCATAAGAGGACTGGGCGTCAGAGCCAGCGCTGTAGTTGAGAAGCTGCTGTGTAAGCTATAGCATGTATCATAGCACTGGACGAATAAGGGCCGCATCTTTGCCAGTCTAGAAATGTAAATGTATATCAACTCGAAGACTACCCAGATCACAATCCTCCCCGATGGAGATCGTATGTCGCCAGTAGATCGAGGTCATCGAAGACAGAGATGTCGTAATATATTGTGGAACAAACGTCATGCAGGACGGCAAATAGCGTGCCCATTCATTCCATCCTCATTGTCCCAGCTATCTGACTTCTCCATAGAAGATAGCGCAGAGCCGCACCTATCCGCCGCTCACCGATGCGCCTGCCCAAGTCACATGCATCGTATGGCACCAGCAAACAGCCTCGTCGCTCCTACCTCGCTCTTACCCCGCCCCCGCTTTTGTGCCTTATAGCCTGCGTGCCCCGCCACCTTTTCTTCCCTTAGCCTCAATCACGCCATATCCGCCAAATCAGCATTCACGACCATGGTCCAGGTACGCCCCCAGAGTTTTACATGGGTTTCCTAATGCGGTAGACTATGTCGATATGTAAACTGGATTTGGTCGAGTAGGGCTGACAATGCGCTAGAAGCTTGAGTACTCGGTTGAGGAGCCGCTGAATCGCGAGCCGGAGCTTGAGAAGCTGGTTGAAAGGTACGTCTAGTGTTAGTTATGTGTGAGGGTGAAGGATACTGGGTTGGGAAGAGACGATGGGAGGCGCTAGTAGGGGACCAGCCGTTCACGCACGGGTGACGGCGTCCTGACGGTGGGCTCAGTCGATCATGACCCTTGGATCCAGAATACCCACAGTCCAGTTATAAGATTCATACGCAGCCACAATACTAACGCTGTGAACAGCTTCATCACCAAAGACGGCTACGACCGCAATCACGGCCCCATTCCCCACATCGATGCGAACACACACAAAGTCTCCGTAACAGGACTCGTCAACAATGAACTCTCGCTTTCCATCGCAGACCTCCAAGCACTTCCTCAACACACCGTAATATGCGCACTACAATGCGCCGGAAACCGTCGTCACACCATGCGTACAAAGTTGAAAGAGGTGTCCGGAATTGACTGGTTCGATGGCGCAGTCATGAACTGCAAATGGACGGGGCCTCTTCTCAAAGATGTTCTGGAGAAGGCTGGTGTCAAGGTCGAAGAGAACAAGCTCAGCGAAGCGCATGTGGCGTTCTCCTGCTATCAGACGCCTACCCAAGAAGATGAGTTCTACGGTGCCAGTATCCCACTATCACGTGCCATGGATCGAGAGAGTTCGATTCTACTCGCCCTTCAAATGAACGACAAGCCTCTTCCACCAAACCACGGTGCTCCTGTGCGCGTCGTCACTCCTGGTATCGCTGGAGCGAGAAGCGTCAAGTGGCTTGACTCCATCTCCGTCCAACTGACCGAGAGTAAAAGTCACTACCAGCAGCACGACTATAAAGTCCTTCCTCCAGAGGTCGATTCGAAAGAAAAGGCGGAGGGGTATTGGGGCAAGGTCGATGCTCTGCAAGACATGCCTGTCAACAGCGTCGTTGGAATTCCCAAATCGGGTAGTACCGTGCAGCGAGACACTGATGGGACAATTGAAGTCAAGGGTTATGCACTGCCTAGTGGAGCGGATGGACCCATTGTCAAGGTCGAAGTCAGTGTCGATGGAGGGGCAACATGGACAGAAGCAGAGTTGATCAAAGCCTACGAGGGCGAAGATACCAAGGATGTTGAACTTAAGTGGGCGTGGGCATTATGGAAGGTAAGGGTCAAGGTTGAGAAGGGCAAGGATATTGCGATATACAGTCGGGCGACAGACAAGAGCGGCAATGTGCAGGAGAAGTGTCCGAAGTGGAACTTCCGCGGTGTGGCGTATAATGGATATGGTGAGGCTTCTGGTTTGGAGATTGTCTGAAGTTGACGGTAGAATGGCTGAACGGAAGGTGTGGTAGATTGGACTGGTTGTGTGCTTTTGGTATTCATATGGCTAGATTAGCGTGGC